TAGGTGAAATACGCAAAATATTGAGAATATGTATGAAAACATTTTTTACAAAGTATAATTGAATCCAGTTATCCCCATTGAAATACATTTAAAGTTCCATTATTCCATGCCAGATGTGCAAAACCCACCGCAATTTTCACGAATTTTAATGAAGAAAAATAGTACTGCATTGTAAATTATCAATACATACACATAATTAGGAAAATAAATGTCTTTGATGAATTGTAATTAAGGCGAAAGTCTCAACCCCCCCCCCCCACACACACACACACACAGTGCATTTATTACTTTTTTGTGTGTGCATACTTCTAAGGGCTGTGGTCAAGTGAGTGACTTGGCCAATTGTGGAGTCTCCTCCATGCTCTTTGTGAGTGTTTTCAGTTTGGAAATTTGTGATTGAGTGTTTATCCCATTCAGTCGTAAAGTGCATTGTGACGGTGGCCCTCCGTGTCCATATGTGAGGGCATTACAATCTCAAATGGTTGTGTACCTGAAGCTCGCTTGGAACTAAAATTTTTGCAACATCAAGCATGAATAAATAAATAAATAAATAAAATATAAAATTTGATCTAGCAATGGATTATAGCAAAAACTAATGAATAAATAATCATAAACTCAACAAGTCGGGGAATTTATAAGTCAAAAATACCTAAACTGTGTCAAAACTAGGGCCCGCCTTACATAATTGGCAGAGATTATCTCTTTTAAAATCAGCAAAAATCTGCACATTTAGTCATTTTTGCAGATTTTGGTTTACATTAACACAACACAATGTAAGAAAAACCATGAAGTTGAAACAGCCCTCTGAAAAAAAAAAAATCAGGAAAAAAAATAAAAATAAAAATCCTCTGATGTTTGTTGATTTTTTTTTTGTCTTGGTGGTAAATCTAAACAAATACAAAAGGATAAAGTCAGTAAAACAGTCAAATGATCTCCCTGTTATTCATATCTTTATTGTTGTTAAGGGACAAAAATTAATCTAGAATTTTATTCTGCCAAATATTCCAAATTGCTCAGGCTCTACTAAAAACACATGAACGGAGGTTTCTATAATCTCAGCCGCATAAAGAGAATTTCCGTTTTGCTACACAAATACAGTACGTTCTACTCCAAAAAAATCTCAAAACAAAAAAAAAAAATATAT